AGAGCTCTGTATGACAACTACTACTACTGTACACAATGACTGTCTCCCACGAAGGCAGGGTGACCCAAAAAAGAAGAAACACTTCCATCATCACTCACTCCATCACTGTCTTGCCAGAGGCGTACCTAAACTCCAGTTCGAAACTGCAAATATTGTCACCCCTCCTTCAGAGTGCAATCACTGTACTTCCCACCTCCAGGATTCAAGTCTGGCTAACTGGTTTCCCTGAATCCCTTCATAAACACTACCTTGCTCATACTCCAAAAGCACGTCAAGTCATAAAAACTACATGCCAATACTGTACTTGTATATTCACCTTATGTCCATGGGAAAGTGGAGAAGAATCCTTCCTAGAGACATGCATGTCGTAAGAGGTGGCTAAAATGGCGGGAGCAGAGGGCTAGTAACCCCTTCTGTATAAATTACTAAATGTAAAAAAGAAAAACTTTTTGTTTCTTACACAACACACAGAACACCCGTGACTTAACCTGACTCCTCATTTTTCCTTTTCTTTTTCTTCTTCTCTCTCTTTCCCTCTCCTCTTTCCTTTTTCTCCTCTGGGTTGTCTTTCTCTCTTCTGTCTCGTGTTTCTGTTCCTTCTTCATTTATTTCACCACTTCCCCTTTCACGCACCTCTGTGCACTTGCTCTCCCTCTGTGGGCACCTAGCTCTCTTGCAGTGCTCCCCTTCCTTTGTTCTGGACTGGCTCGTCCTCCTTATTCGCCACTTCTACCACTACTACTACCTCTTCTACTTCTACTACTACTACTACTGATGGAATTAAGACATGTGCAGCGTCTGGGTGTTTTTGTTGTGGACGTTTCGCCATCCAGTGCCTGATGGTGAAACGTCTACGATAGGGATGCCCGGGTGTTGCTCATGTGTCTTAATTTCATCTTGTCGGTATTATATACCATTCTTGTACTACTACTACTACCACCACCACCTCTTCCTGCCTATATATAGCCGTCCTGCTCCCCCTCTGGTTAGTGTGACTTTGTAAATGGTCCAAGTCGGACCGAAACATCGTCGTAAGCTTCTCTCTTTTATATGCGGGTTATTTGTGTATCGTTCCAGTCACGGTATTGTGCCTTTTTGTTATTTTTGTTTCTTATTTTTTGGGTCGCCCTTTCATAAATTCACTATGTACAATACAGTGGTACCTCGGGATACGAACTTAATCCATTCCAGAAGGCTGTTCGAGTGCCGATACCAAACGAATTTGTTCCCATAAGGAATAATGTAAATTAGATTAATCCGTTTCAGATCCCCAAATGCAGTGGACCCCCGCATAACATTGGCATCACGTAATGTTAAATCCGCATAGCGATACATTTTATCGCTAAAATTTTGCCTCGCATAGCGCTAAAAAACTCGCTCGATGCTATTCATCCGAGACGCATCCATGTGCGGCCTGAGCCAGCCTCACATGTTCCGCCGGTGGCACTGTTTACAAGCCAGCCTCCACGGTAACATCCAAGCATACAATCGAAACATTTCGTATTATTACAGCGTTTTTTGTGATTTCATATGCAAAATAAGTGACCATGGGCCCCAAGAAAGCTTCTAGTGCCAACCCTACAGGAATAAGGGTGAGAATTACTGTAGAGATGAAGAAAGGATTTATTGCTAAGTATGAAAAGTGGAGTACGTGTCTCCGAGCTGCCAGGTTGTAAGTAAACCCCAATCAACCATCGCTACTATTGTGGGCAAGAAAACGGCAATCAAGGAAGCTGTTCTTGCCAAAGGTGCAACTGTGTTTTCAAAACAGAGATCACAAGTGATAGAAGATGTTAAGAGACTCTTATTGGTGTGGATAAACGAAAAACAGATAGCAGGAGATAGTATCTTCAAGCGATCATAAGTGAAAAGGCTAGGAAGTTGCATGAGGATTTAATTAGAAAAATGCTGCCCAATAGTGATGATGTGAGTGAATTTAAGGCCGCAAAAAGTTGGTTTGAAGGGTTTAAGAAGTGTAGTGGCATACATAGTGTGATAAGGCATGGTGAGGCTGCCAGTTCGGACCACAAAAACAGCTGAAAAATATGTGCATGAATTCAAGGAGTACATGGGCAGTGAAGGATTGAAACCTAAACAAGTGTTTAAATTGTGACAAAAACAGGCCTGTTTTTGGAAGAAAATGAAAAGCAGGACCTACATTACTCAGGAGGAAAAGGCACTCCAGGACATAAGCCTATGAGAGACAGGCTTACTCTGTTAATGTGTGCCAATGCTTTGTGGTGATTGCAAAATAAATCCTTTATTAGTGTATCACTCTGAAACTCCCAGAGCGTTCAGGCAAAAAGAATATCCTCAAGGCTAATTTGTGGTGTGTTTTGGAGGGGCAAACAGTAAGGCATGGGTCATGGGATTTTTCTATGACTGGTTACACCATGCATTTGCCCCAATGTGAAAAATTACCTAATTGAAAATAAATTAGTCCTTAAGTGCCTCCTGGTGTTAGACAATGCCCCTGGTCATCCTACAGACTTGGCAGAGCGACTTTGTGGGGACATGAGCTTCATTAAGGTGAACTTTTTGCCTCCTAATACCACTCCTCTCCTGCAGCCCATGGACCAGCAGGTTATGCAAACTTCAAAAAACTGTACACAAAAGCTCTGTTTGAAAGGTGCTTTGTACTGACCTCAGAAACTCAATTGACTCTAAGAGAGTTTTGTAGAGATCACTTTAATATCCTCAATTGTGTAAACCTTATAGGTAAGGCTTGGGAGGAAGTGACTAAGAGGACCTTGAACTCTGCTTGGAAGAAACTGTGGCCAGAATGTGTAGACCAAAGGGATTTTGAAGGGTCTGAGGCTAACCCTGGGAATCCTATGCCAGTTGAGGAATCAATTGTGGCATTGGGGAAGTCCTTGGGGTTGGAGGTTAGTGGGGAGGATGTGGAAGAGTTCGTGGAGGAGGACATTGAAGAACTAACCACTGATGAGCTGCTAGATCAACTTCAACAGCAAGAGGCCACACCTGAGGAAACTGCTTCGGAGGAGGGGAGAGAGAAGTTGAAGAAGCTGCCTACTTCAAAGATTAAGGAAATATGTGCAAAGTGGCTTGAAGTGCAAACCTTCATGGATGAAAATCACCCTCAGACAGCTGTTGCAAGCTGTGCTGGTGACTATTACACTGCCAATGTTGTGAAACACTTTAGGAAAGTCATAAAGGAACAAGAGGTACAGACCTCTATGGACAGATATGTTGTGCGACAGAAGTCCAGTGACTCTGAAGCTGGTCCTAGTGGCATTCAAAGAAGGGAAGTAACCCCGGAAAAGGACTTGCTACCTCAAGTCCTAATGGAAGGGGATTCCCCTTCTAAACACTAAGACCATCAACACTCTCCCCTCCTCCCATCCCATCAATCATCACCAGATCTTCAATAAAAGTAAGTGTCATGTAACTGTGCATGTCTTCTTCAGTTTGTGTGTATTAAAATTAATATTTCATGTGGTAAAAAATTTTTTTTTTCATACTTTTGGGTGCCTGGAACGGATTAATTTGATTTCCATTATTTCTTATGGGGAAAATTAATTCGCATAACATTGAGCTCTCAGGAACGGATTAATATCGTTATGTGGGGGTCCCCTGTATACACTTACAAAAATGCACTTCCATAACTGTTCGAGTTTTGAGCTGTTCGTATCCCGAGGTACCACTGTACTGACAAGTGGACAATAATTCCAACACTCTCCAGAATACTGACTAACAGTGAGAGCACACAAATACTACAGAAAACCAGTGGCCACTGAGGTCTGATCCAGTTGCTGTCTATGAGACTTGTTGGCTTAAGTGATGACAGACACTTTAACAATGGTTTATAAGCAAAAATTATGATAAGCTAATTGTGAAGTCAACAAACTCCTGAAAAGACAGCAAGCAGTAAATTTGAAAGCATGAAAATTAATCCTTTCTGTGTCAGTCTCGCAATATTACAGCTTCAAAGCCAGTGTCAGTCCCATAATACTAAGCCAAAATTCTAGCAATTTCAAATCTTGCAGGAGAAAGCTGGTAGGGTTACATGTGAGAAAATGGGACTGCATGGTCAGTGTGCACAGTATAAAAAGTCCTGCAGCACACAGTACATGAGAAAAACAACTGCAACCATGTTTTTGGTTTAAAACAGAGACTTTGCAGTATACTTTTTGTATAGTATTTATGGTTGTATTCTTGTTTTCTGGTTTCATTTGACAGAATGGAAGATATGTTACAGAAATAGATATGATTTTCAATGGTTTACAGATAAAAAGTGGCTTGAAATTGAGCTCAGAGTAGCAGAAATGTTAAATTTTTCCTGATGTTCAAGAGTAAACAAATCACGTCATGTTCAATACATGTCAACTGGTGAATCTAATATGCAGACACGTACTGGACAGTGATGTCATTTGTTTACTTTTGAACATCAGCCAAAAATCCAACATTTCCGCTACTTTGAGCTCAATTTCAAGGTACTTTTAGTCCGTAAACCATTCAAAATCATCTCTATTTCTGTAACATGTCTTCCATTATATCAAATGAGACCAAGAAAATGAGAATACAACCATGAATACTATACGAAAATACACCGCAAAGTCGGTGTTTTAAACCAAAAAACATGGTCAGTTTTTTTTTTCTCATTATGCACTGCGTGCTGCAGGATTTTTTTTTTTATACTGTGCACACTGACCCCTCAGATCCATTCTCTCATACGTAGGCCTACCAGCTTTCTTCTGCAAGATTGGAAGCCGCTAGAATTTTGGCATTATATTACAGCACCAACACTGGCTTGCAAGTTGTAATATTACGGCACCGACAGTGAAATGGTTAACAAAGCAGCCATCTCCCAATAAGGCAGAGTGACTCAAAAAAAGAAACACTTTCACTCACTCCATCACTGTCTTGCCCGAGAGGCACTAATACTATGGTTCAAAACTGCAAATATCCCCACCCCTCCTTCAGAGTGCAGGCTGCAGTTTAAGGAATTGTAATTGAAACACTGTTATATAATGTAAGAAAATTATAATTTTTACATTAATAGCTCTATTCCTATATAATATAAACCATACCATGGGTGGGGATAGAACCCAAGATCAGAGCATCATAAAACTCCAGATTGATGCGGGTTCTATTCCCGCCCATGGTATGGCTTGTTTGCAATCGTGTCATTAAGATTTCATGAGTCCTATATAATATCTCAAGACTTCAGTAAATATATGCTATAAGTAATTTTCATATTATTGGCAAGAAAAATACAAAAACTAACATGTTATTTAAAAATTTCTGGTAAAATATATGATATAAATGATACATGCAATACTATACATACTCATAATTTATAAAAAAACGTAAAAATATTATTCTAACATATTTAATAACTTTCCTTTTTTTTTTTTTTACAAATTTATTAAAATTATTACTAAATATATGGAGTGTGCTTATGATTTGTGAACTAAATTAAAACTGTACAAGTAATATGGTTAAATGTTTTGGGCTAGTTACCCTTCTATTTCTTTTTAGTGAAGCCAGTAAGTGTGTGTTGTGTGTGACGAGACACTGTGGACATGCCATCTACGAACTTAGTCTTGAATAACACATTGGCATTGTTGAACATTCCATCCTTCAGTGACACAACGATGAACTGGAAAAGAAAAAAATTTCCAATACTATTTAAAAACTAACACTATTTAAAATATAAGTGCAAAGAGGAGAAAGATACACAAATAACTCGTACGTACGAGAGAGGAGCTTACGACGGCATTTCAGTTTGACTTGGACCATTTACAAAGTCACAGTGTGTGCCTTTTTCTCAGAGTGTGACTGTAAATGGTCCAAGTCGGACCGAACATCATCGTAAGCTTCTCTCTCCTGTGTGCGGGTTATTTATGTATTGTTCCAGTCACGGTATTGTGACTTTGTTCTTTAAGAGAGATATTGAAATCATTGTGTTAGGTTGATTTAAGACAACAGAGCTTCTCTATCCTGTCAGAGTGAATGTCTCATGACATTTTTCTCTTACTACAGTATATCTCTTGGAACATCTGTCTCTACCAGTGTATCTCTTGGAACATCTGTCTCTACCAGTGTATCTCTTGGAACATCTGTCTCTACCAGTGTATCTCTTGGAACATCTGTCTCTACCAGTGTATCTCTTGGAACATCTGTCCCTATCAGTGTATCTCTTGGAATATCTGTCCCCACTATAGTGTATCTCTTGGGACATCTGTCCCCAACCACCAGTGTATCTCCCAGAACATCTCCATTCCACAAATCAGTGTATCTTCCATAGACACACCAGTCTCTTACCACAGTGCATCTCCCATCACACTATCTCTGTCACCCACCACATTATATATCCCAAGAAATAAAATTTTAAAGAATACATTTCTGTTGAGATCATGCAAAAAAAAAAAAAAAAAAAAAAAAAAAAAAAAAAAAAAAAAAAAAAAAAAAAAAAAAAAAAAAAAAAAAGGGCCATTAAACCTTTTGCCCTTTTTCTCTTTTTCAAAATAATATCTAAGATTTCATCAAAACTGTGCTGTAACTTTCACATCTAACAAATTAAATTCCTAATTTCCAAAGATGATTACATAATTTTAAGTGATAAACGACACATACGTACGGTTTCTTTATCCTGCCATTGTGGTTGGGTAGCATCTGGTACAGTCTGTTTTTGTCCAGTTTTAATTATATACATAGAAAAAATTCAAAAAAAGGAAAATATTGCCGTGTGTGTATGTGATAGGGTATCAAATGATTTAGATAAAAAAAATTTGGTATCAAATTGGGGAGGGGGAGTATGGAAGAAGTGAATGTTTTCAGATTTGGGGATTGACGTGTGGCGGAGGGTTTAAAAGGATGAGGTTAATCATGAATTGATGAGGGAAAAAAGTAGGGGTGCGTGAGGTATATGTGGAGTCAAAAACGTTATTATGGAGGCAAAAAAAGGGGAAAGTATGAAAGTATGTAGTACCAAATCTTTTATGGATTGAAGCTTGGGTGGTAAAAAAAGCAGCGCGAGGAGACGGTTGGGGGCAGTGGAGATGTCCTGTCTAAGGGGAATGTGTGGTGTAAATATTATCAAAAAATTCGGAGTTGGGAAAATTTGGGAGGTGTGGGGTTAAAAAAGCATTAGTCGAGGGGGAAAAAAGGGGGTTGTTGGGGTGGGTTTTTCATTTAGGAGAATGGTTCAAAGTGAAAGACATGGAAAGCATATAAATTATAGGGGGAAGGAAAGAGGGGTAGGGGCGTCCTCGAAAGGGTTGGAAAGGGGGAAAGGGGGTTTGGGGTGAGGGGCTTTGGGCTTCCCGCAAACGTGCGTGAGCGGTTTAATAGGGGTGAATGGAGACAAAGAACTTGGGGACTGGGCGTCTGTTGGGGTGTGGAAAGGGTAATATTTGTGAAGGGATTCGGGGGAAACTTTTTTTTCTATAGTGGGGACTTGGTCCTGGAAATGGGAAGTACAATCCCTGCACTTTAAAGGGGGGGTTTGGGATATTGGCATTTGGAGGGGATATTTTGTGTATCTCTATACATGGTTGCTTCTAAACTGTTGAAATTTGAGCCCCTCTGAAAAAGCAGGATAATTTTAGGTGGTGAAGTGTAAATGAGAGAAAGTATTTCTTTTGGGGATTTTTTTCTTTTTTTTTTTGGTCACCCTCCCTCGGGGGGGAGCGGCCGATTTGTTAAAAAAAAAAAAAAAAAAAAAAAAAATGTGTGTTAGAATTTGTGTTACATTTACATGCGGTGTGAGTGAGTTATCAACTTTAAAACCAACTTTACTGTGTATGAAGTGTTTTACATTTTGCTTATATCTATTAGTGTGTGCTGTTCCAACTGTTAACAATACCCTTTCCTGTGTTGAAAGGGGGTTTTTCAAATTATATTAATGATCAGTAGTCATTCTAAGGGTGGGAAATAGGGCTGCAACCCTCCCATAATTGCCATCAGGCCCCAAAGCCCTCATAATAAAAATAACAACAATTCAAGATAAATCCTCTAGTCCCCATTCCGTCCAGACTGCCACCCATGAGTCCCTCTTATATAAAAATTCTGGAGCCATCCCTCTGATAGTGACCTTACCTGCGAGTGTCTGAAGTGTGTTCGCAACATGTTACCAATGTTCTGCGTATGTGAGAGATCCAAGGCAGCATCTACTTCATCCAGGATGTAAATAGGAGCTGGTTTGAAGAGCAGAAGAGCCAAGATGAGTGAGAGAGCAACCAGGGACCGCTGACCACCACTTAATTCTGTTTAGCTTTCCTTCCATACATCAGCCAAATGCCACTTTGGGACCTGTATAAACAAACAACAGAAATTATCACTTAAAGAAAGAAATATGAATCTTAACACAATAAAATTGCCAAAACTTAGGATAAAAGTGCTGGTATCAATCCTTAATAAAACAACCCTAGGTGTATTATTCAAAAAAGGTATAATACTGTGACTGGAACTCACACAAATAACCCGCTCATTAGGAGAGGGAGCTTACAACAACGTTTTGTCGGCTTTGGAACCATTTACGAAGTCACACTACAGAAAAAGGAGAGAAATAGGAGTAGTAAATATAGGCAGCAGACAAGGATGGGGGACTACCCGTCTTCTGTTTCAAGCAATTTTTATATGTCTAACCTCTAAGCCATCAAGAACATCTTGCCCATCTTGAGGCTGGAGCTTGGCCTGGGTCCCAGGAAGAGCATCGCTGAAGATTGAACCAAAATCACGATTAACCTGAAATAAAGACAACAGTTTTGAAATTTTTTAACATAGAAACCAAAAACTACAATATAAAAGACAGTATACCTTAAATACAACAGACTAATAAGGGAGACCGTCCAAGTGTCCATTAAATGAAAATAAAGATAAAAAATAAGCAGAAAGTAGTACAGTATTTACTGTATACTTTAATATTAGTACTTTACACATATAAATTTTCCATAGTACAATAATCAATGAAAATATACCTTAAAAAATAATTTACTCAGATTTTGTATGTGATTTCAGAAGTTTGTTTTATAGAGGTATATTACATCGAGAGTTTACTGTATTTAAACATTTCCTTCTTAGCGTTACTCTGCATTCGCAGGAGACTGTTGATGAGGCTAATTTTTTTTTTGTTTACAATACATGAAGCTTAACTCACTACACAAAACTCACCTGCTCCCAGGCCTGTCTTAGTGCTTCCTTCTTCTTCTCGTCCAATTCACGTATTACCTTCTCAATCTTTGCTTTGTCATTCTCCACAATTCGTTTTTTTCTCATTAAGTCATTATACTGTGAAAACAATTAAAATGATGATTATTATTATTATTATTATTATTAACACACTGGCCGATTCCCACCAAGGCAGGGTGGCCCGAAAAAGAAAAACTTTCACCATCATTCACTCCATCACTGTCTTGCCAGAAGGGTGCTTTACACTACAGCTTTTATAACTGCAACATTAACACCCCTCTTTCAGAGTGAAGGCAACTGTACTTCCCATCTCAGGAATCAAGTCGGCCTGCCGGGTTTCCCATGAACCCTTCATTAAATGTTACTTTCTCACACTCAACAGCACGTCAAGTATTAAAACCATTTGGTCTCCATTCACTTCCTATCAAACACGCTCACACATGCCTGCTGGATAGTCCAAGACCCTCGAACACAAAACCTCCTTTACCCCCTCCCTTCCACCTTTCCTAGGCCGACCCCTACCCGCCCCTTTCCTCCATACAGACTGATCATCTTGAAATGATGATAAGTGTTATTAAATGTTTATCTGTATGGAACCACACTACTATCAGGCTTACTATTACTGTAGTTTAATTTACTGACTACTAGTAGTTCCAGACCAATATAAGGCAAACTAATGTATACACTAATAATCTACACAAAAGCTTGCACATAGGGAAGAAAGAAACTTATGATGTTTTGGACAACTTCGATCATTAAACTTGACCTGTTGGACCGAAAGTATGTATTTCTGGAACTTTATGCAGGTTTTTGTGTATTCCGTCACGGTGTTGTGCCTTTTTGTTCTTCACTGATATTCTCTCATAAACATTAGCAAACATTGGAGCTTAATAAGGCATGTAATACAAAATGACTGAATACAGTGGTACCCCGAGTTTCGGCCATACTTCATTCAAGAATTCTGAGTGCCGTTACCGAACAAATTTGTTCCCATAAGAAATAATGTAAATTAGATTAGTTCCGTTTCAGACCCCCAAAAATACACTTACAAAAGCACTTACAATAATATACTTACATAACTGTTCGAGGTTGGAGTGTACGAAACTTGGGGTACCACTGTGTATCAGTTTTGAGCCAGACAGTGTGCTTCAGGTAAGAGTAATCATCACACAAGAAATATTAAACAATGCAAGACGATTGCAATGATACAACAGAGATCTTGATCAGTAACACTCTTGCTTATACAGGTAATATACTTTATGTATGCACATTATATACTATTTACAATCTGATGAAGAATTAAACACTTTTGCAACATTGCAGAATTCTTTTATTGTGCAAACATTTCATTACAGGGCTTTCTCAGTTGGTGGAAGACGAGAGAGTTTGAGGAAATAAATCAGTCCCTCAGCCGGGGAATCAATGTTTCCAGTCCATCAATCATGAGATTGATAGACTGAAAACATTAAAACTTTTCAATCATGATTGATTGAAAAGTACTACTTTTCTCATGATTGATGGACTGAACACATTGACTCCAGGCTGAGGGACTAATAACTTCAATCTCCTTTTCCTCTTCCACCATTCATCTCTACTGGACTGAGGAAGTCGCTTGTTGGCAAAATCTTTCCACTATAAAGATTCCCAAATGTTACAAGTGTCTAATTCTTCAACTTGTTGCTTTTCTAACCCATTTACATACATTTTACAAACATAATTCTATGCCTGCTACAACCTCACATGTATATACAGTGGACCCCCGCATAACGATTACCTCCGAATGTGACCAATTATGTAAGTGTATTTATGTAAGTGCGTTTGTATGTGTATGTTTGGGGGTCTGAAATGGACTAATCTACTTCACAATATTTCTTATGGGAACAAATTCGGTCAGTACTGGCACCTGAACATACTTCTGGAGTGAAAAAATATCGTTAACCGGGGGTCCACTGTACTCTAAAAATGTGTATTTGAAAGAGGACAAAAACTAGGCACTAGTAAATGTAATACTATTCCTTCCCCTTTCATAGATTTTTTCTAAGCTGGAGTTTTATTTATTCTAAAGCTTAATCTCCTATTGTTCAGGATTTTTGGTGGTTGTATGTACAGTGAGCAGGATAATATTTTGTGAAGGGATTTAGGAAAACTGGTTAGCCGGACTTGAGTCCTGGAGGTGGGAAGTACAGTACCTACACTTTAAAAGGAATATTTGGAATACTGACTGTTTGGAATGACTGAACTGTCATATCTGGGCACCTCTGCAAAGATAGTGATTATGTGTGAATGATGGTGAAAGCATTTCTTTTTTGGGTCACCCTGTCTCAGTGGGACACAGTCGATGTGTTGAAAAAAAAAATGTACAGTATATAAGAAACATTACCTGTTCTTCAGCTTTTCCCAACATGTTCATGGCTCGCATGTTAACATTTTTGGATAGTTTGGCTTTGAGCTCTTCCAGCTTGGAGATCTTGCGTCCAGCTTCCACAGGATCATTTGCAGCAAAATCATAACCAGTGTTGGGCTGACCAAAGAATTTACGATCCTCTGATATCCATTCATGCTCTGATAGCATTTGAGCAACCTGACATGTAAAGATAACATGCAAAGTTATTTTAAAACTATAAGAAAAGCCAGAAGTAAAATGTATATTAAGGTCATTATACAGAGAACAAAGCAGCTTACAAATAAAAAGAAAAAAAGAACCAACATGATTTAGATATAGAAATTAGAACTGCAGTTTTGTTAAAATATTTATTAAAAATTCTGAAACAAAATAGTAATATGCAAGCATCTGTGTGACTAGTTAATGTTCCAAGTCAACCTGAAATGTTGTCACAAGACTCAAGAAATCGTAATGACACGATTGCAAATAAACCATACCCCCGGCCGGGATTGAACCCGCGGGCTGGAGTTTTGAGACTCTATGACCACGGGTTCAATCCCGGCCGGGGGTATGGTTTATGTTGTCACAAGTTTCTGTGTGGTATGTGCAGCTTATTTGTGTACTGTTGCAGTCTTGGTATTGTGCCTTTCTCTTCTTCAACTGTAATCTGATAGTACATTACCTGGAGTTTATCTGGAGAGAGTTCCGGGGGGTCAATGCCCCAGCGGCCTGGTCTGTGACCAGGCCTCCTGGTGGATCAGAGCCTGATCAACCAGGCTGTTGCTGCTGGCTGCACGCAAACCAACGTACAAGCCACAGCCTGGCTGGTCAGGAACCGACTTTAGGTGCTTGTCCACTGCCAGCTTGAAGACTGCCAGGGGTCTGTTGGTAATCCCCCTTATGTATGCTGGGAGGCAGTTGAACAGTCTTGGGCCCCTGACACTTATTGTATGGTCTCTTAATGTGCTAGTGACACCCCTGCTTTTCATTTGGGGGATGTTGCATCGTCTGACAAGTCTTTTGCTTTCGTAGTGAGTGATTTTCGTGTGCAAGTTCGGTACTAGTCCCTCTAGGATTTTCCAGGTGTATATAATCATGTATCTCTCCCGCCTGCGTTCCAGGGAATACAGTTTTAGGAACCTCAAGCGCTCCCAGTAATTGAGGTGTTTTATCTCCGTTATGTGAGCCGTGAAGGTTCTCTGTACATTTTCTAGGTCAGCAATTTCACCTGCCTTGAAAGGTGCTGTTAGTGTGCAGCAATATTCCAGCCTAGATAGAACAAGTGACCTGAAGAGTGTCATCATGGGCTTGGCCTCCCTAGTTTTGAAGGTTCTCATTATCCATCCTGTCATTTTTCTAGCAGATGCGATTGATACAATGTTATGGTCCTTGAAGGTGAGATCCTCCGACATGATCACTCCCAGGTCTTTGACGTTGGTGTTTTGCTCTATTTTGTGGCCAGAATTTGTTTTGTACTCTGATGAAGATTAATTTCCTCGTGTTTACCATATCTGAGTAATTGAAATTTCTCATCGTTGAACTTCATATTGTTTTCTGCAGCCCACTGAAAGATTCGGTTGATGTCCGCCTGGAGCCTTCCAGTGTCTGCAATGGAAGACACTGTCATGCAGATTCGGGTGTCATCTGCAAAGGAAGACACGGTGCTGTGGCTGACATCCTTGTCTATGTCGGATATGAGGATGAGGAACAAGATGGGAGCGAGTACTGTGCCTTGTGGAACAGAGCTTTTCACCATAGCTGTCTCGGACTTTACTCTGTTGACGACTACTCTCTGTGTTCTGTTAGTGAGGAAATTATAGATCCATCGACCGACTTTTCCTGTTATTCCTTTAGCACGCATTTTGTGCGCTATTACGCCATGGTCACACTTGTCGAAGGCTTTTGCAAAGTCTGTATATATTACATCTGCATTCTTTTTATCTTCTAGTGCATTTAGGACCTTCTCGTAGTGATCCAATAGTTGAGACAGACAGGAGCGACCTGTTCTAAACCCATGTTGCCCTGGGTTGTGTAACTGATGGGTTTCTAGATGGGTGGTGATCTTGCTTCTTAGGACCCTTTCAAAGATTTTTATGATATGGGATGTTAGTGCTATCGGTCTGTAGTTCTTTGCTGTTGCTTTACTGCCCCCTTTGTGGAGTGGGGCTATGTCTGTTGTTTTTAGTAACTGGGACGACCCCCATGTCCATGCTCCCTCTCCATAGGATGGAAAAGGCTCGTGATAGGGGCTTCTTGCAGTTCTTGATGAACACGGAGTTCCATGAGTCTGGCCCTGGGGCAGAGTGCATGGGTATGTCATTTATCGCCTGTTCGAAGTCATTTGGTGTCAGGATAACATTGGATAGGCTTGTGTTAACCAAATTTTGTGGCTCTCTCATAAAAAATTCATTTTGATCTTCAACTCTCAGTCTGGTTAGTGGCTTGCTAAAAACTGAGTCATATTGGGACTTGAGTATCTCACTCATTTCCTTGCTGTCATTTGTGTAGGACCCATCTTGTTTAAGTAGGGGCCCAATACAGTGGACCCCCGCATAACGATTACCTCTGAATGCGACCAATTATGTAAGTGTATTTATTTAAGTGCGTTTGTACGTGTATGTTTGGGGGTCTGAAATGGACTAATCTACTTCACAATATTTCTTATGGGAACAAATTCGGTCAGTACTGGCACCTGAACATACTTCTGGAGTGAAAAAATATCGTTAACCGGGGGTCCACTGTACTGGATGTTGTTCTCGACTTTGATTTGGCATAGGAGAAGAAATACTTTGGGTTTCTTTCAATTTCATTTATGGCTTTTAGTTCTTCCTGCGATTCCTGACTCCTATAAGATTCCTTTAGCTTGAGTTCGATGCTTGCTATTTCTCTGACCAGTGTCTCCCTACGCATTTCAGATATATTGACCTCTTTTACCCGCTCTGTTATTCTTTTCCGTCGCCTGTAAAGGGAGCGCCTGTCTCTTTCTATTTTACATCTACTCCTCCTTTTTCTTAGAGGAATAAGCCTTGTGCATACATTGAGTGCCACCAAGTTAATCTGTTCTAGGCATAAGTTGGGGTCTGTGTTGCTTAGTATATCTTCCCAGCTTATATCGGTTAGGACTTGGTTTACTTGGTCCCACTTTATGTTTTTGTTATTGAAGTTGAATTTGGTGAATGATCCCTCGTGACTAGTCTCATTATGTCGGTCTGGGGCTCCACGCATACATATCTGAACCTTAATTATGTTGTGATCTGAGTATATTGTTTTGATATGGTGACATTTCTTATCAGATCATCATTGTTAGTGAAGATGAGGTCTAGTGTATTCTCCAGTCTAGTAGACTCTATTATTTGCTGGTTTAAATTGAATTTTGTGCAGAGATTTAAAAGCTCGTGTGAGTGAGTTTTCATCAGAGCTGCCTCCTGGTGTTATTACTGCAACAATATTATTTGCTATATTCCTCCATTTTAGGTGCCTTAAGTTGAAATCCCCCAGGAGCAAGATGTTGGGTGCAGGAGCTGGAAGATTTTCCAGACAGTGGTCAATTTTTAACAGCTGTTCCTGGAATTGCTGGGATGTTGCATCCGGAGGCTTGTAGACTACCACAATGACTAGGTTTTGGTTCTCGACCTTTACTGCTAAAACTTCCACTATATCATTTGAGGCATTTAGCAGTTCTGTGCAAACAAGTGACTCTGCAATGTACAGGCCAACCCCCCCCTTTTGCCTGTTCACTCTGTCACATCTGTATAGGTTGTAACCTGGGATCCATATTTCGTTGTCCAAGTGATCCTTTATGTGGGTCTCAGTGAAAGCCGCGAACATTGCCTTTGCCTCTGCAAGCAGTCCACGGATGAAAGGTATTTTGTTGTTTGTTGCTGGCTTTAGACCCTGTATATTTGCAAAGAAGAATGTCATCGGACTGGTGGTATTGTTGGTACTGGGGGGGGATTTTTTTCCGGCATTAACACTGCTACTCAAATTATTACTATTATTTCTTTTATTATCACACTGGCCGTTTCCCACCAAGGCAGGGTGGCCCACCAAGGCAGGGTGGTCCACCAAGGCAGGGTGGTCCACCAGGGCAGGGTGGCCCACCAAGGCAGGGTGGTCCACCAAGGCAGGGTGGTCCACCAAGGCAGGGTGGTCCACCAAGGCAGGGTGGTCCACCAAGGCAGGGTGGTCCACCAAGGCAGGGTGGCCCACCAAGGAAGGGTGGCCCACCAAGGCAGGGTGGTCCACCAAGGCAGGGTGGCCCACCAAGGCAGGGTGGTTCACCAAGGCAGGGTGGCCCAAAAAATAAAAACTTTCACCATCATTCACTCCATCACTGTCTTGCCAGAAGGCTGCTTTACACTACAGTTACAAAACCACAACATTAACACCCCTCCTTCAGAGTGCGACACTGTACTTCTCATCTCCAGGACTCTAAGTCCGGCCTGCCGGTTTCCCTGAACCCCTTCATAAATGTTACCCTGCTCACACTATTATTTTTTTTTTTTTTTTTTTTCAACAAGTTGGTCGTCTCCCACCGAGGCAGGGTGACCCAAAAAAGAAAGAAAATCCCCAAAAAGAAAATACTTTCATCATCATTCAACACTTTCACCACACTCACACATTATCACTGCTTTTGCAGAGGTGCTCAGAATACAACAGTTTAGAAGCATATACGTATAAAGATACACAACATATCCCTCCAAACTGCCAATATCCCAAACCCCTCCTTTAAAGTGCAGGCATTGTATTTTCCCATTTCCAGGACTCAAGTCCGACTATAAGAAAATAACCCGGGTTTCCCTGAATCCCTTCACTAAATATTACCCTGCTCACACTCCAACAGATCGTCAGGTCCCAAGTATCTTTTCGTCTCCATTCACTCCTCTCTAACACGCTCATGCACGCTTGCTGGAAGTCCAAGCCCCTCGCCCACAAAACCTCCTTTACCCCCTCTTTCCAACCCTTTCGAGGACGACCCCTACCCCTCTTTCCTTCCCCTATAGATTTATATGCTTTCCATGTCATTCTATTTTGATCCATTCTCTCTAATGACCAAACCACCTTAACAACCCTCTTCTGCCCTCTGACTAATGCTTTTATTAACTCCACACCTTCTCCTAATTTCCACACTCCGAATTTTCTGCAAAAATATTACATCACACATTGCCCTTAGACAGGACATCTCCACTGCCTCCAAC